TACGGATTAAACTAGTATTAAAATGAGTCACTCACGTCAGAGTGGCTCTGTGGCAGTAGGCGAACGGAAATGACTCCAAGTAAAACTGATGGATATTAAGAAATCGAGCTTGCCAACACTTACTGGAGGCAGTTTTGATTTACGTTGCGGAGTTTTAGAAAAATCAACACGTTTCACGAACAATGTTTTAGATTTTTGAACTTTGTCTCTTTGACAGTACGTTAGTCTCCAGGAGCTGTAGTCTCCAAATAATTTTGGCGGCAACGCAGATTTTTAATTGCTGAATAGCAATTTAACTCTCAGTGGCGTATTCTCAGCCGCCGAAATGAGTCAACCGCGCAAGTCAACCGTGATAGACTGGCAACAAAGAATCGCGACTGACTCGAGACCTGTTCGAGCCAACGATCCCAAACCATCATTTGCCAGTCTCCTTACAGGAGCCCATATGGGGTCCTGCTCCTTATGATGATCTATACTGACGCTTACGGGGAGGCTCCGCTCGAAAAGTGGTTCTTTCAGTCAGGCTTCCTGTCTATAAACGGGTAGGAATTTTGCGAGTTCATTTAAGTGAATGAAAGGATGCCCTGGTTGCCCCGAGGTTTCTTCCTCCACTTCCCTAAAATAGTATACTGTACGCCTACGCATCTTATAACAGCATTAAACTCTCCGTAATATGACGAGAATAGTTGCTGTCAGGAGCTTGATTGTGAAAGGGGGCACAACTTTTAGTTCAATGGAAGGTACAGATGAAAGGGTACTTTCTCTATCAATGAATGGAACATACAAGAGTGAGCCGCCGTTGGACCTCGGGGCGGGGTTTCCCCGATGAAACGTTGCTGAGTAGCCCCCTCTAGGGGGGGGGGGGGAGGCCTTTCCTTTTTGTCCAAAGGGGCTGCCGGACCGTTATTGCCCCAATTTTTTTTACTTTTAAATTTTCTGCGAGTCCCTTAAAATGAAGCTTTAAAGGGTTTGGTCATTTTTTGAGACTATTTAACCTCTTTTAAAAAATTTTTAAGTAATTTAAAAGAATTAAA